GGCTGAGAACTTTGAATTCTCATCTTTCTCTGAACCTTCCTTGCAGACAGAAGCAGCCTCATCCATTTCCCTACAGCCCCTATAACCTAAAGCAACCAACAGCCCCTATAACCTAAAGCATCCAGCCTTTCTTTGTATATATTTTTCATTAGAGTCACCTGGAATAGCTGTCCCAAGAGGGAGATACCAATTAACACCTATCCAGTCACTTTGCATTGTCTTCCAGAGCACAGTAAGAGTTAAGAGCCCAGGATAGCCCAGATATGAAAGGAGGGGACTTGCATATGGATTTAAAGGATTCTTTCAATTCATATTTAAAGGAATATGGACAGCATAGAGAAACAAATGCTACAAGTGTTAAGCCAAGGGGGATAAAATAAAGATTAAATACCAGTCAAATTCATCAGTTGGACATAATCATGTAGGATATGTGGTTTAATGAGTTGACTCAATAGTCAGATACATTTCTTTACCACTAGGTTAGGATACTGAAGGCTGGACCCAATACTGGCCTGGAATCAATGAGCTGGGGATATCTGATTTATCTGGCTTATAGTAAAAAGTCTACTGGCTCAGGGAGCTGAAAATTGTGAAGTAAATCTTATATGCAACCTGTCAGGCACCTCCTAAGCACACTCTTCAGAAGACCTAGAGAACACTCCTTTCACAACAGCATTAATAAGTACATTAGTGAAAGGGACTACTATTGCCCTGGAAAAGCACTGCGGTACAGGTCCTCTAAGTCTGCAGGTGATAGTGGAAAATGCTACAATGAATGTACTCCCTAATTTTATTGAAAATAATGCTACAGACATATCATGGAGATATTGCAGTTTCAGTTCCAGACACTGCAATAAACCAAGTATCACAATAAAGAAAGTCCCATAATCTTTTTTGTTTGCCAGTGCAGATAAGTTATACAGAAATGTATTATTTCCAAAAGCATGATGTCTCACAAAAAGTACAAACTGAGACCAGCGGTTGGCATAATGGTTATGGCACTGGACTCCTAGGTAGTTGTCGCGGTTCAAGCCCCAGACCCAGTGGCTTAAACTACATGGGGCGCATGTACGTGCATGCCCAAGATCCCAAGAGGAGAATGGAGGAGAAGGGATTGTGGCATGGTCATCACGCATGGGGGGTGATTTCTCGCTTTCTGTCTCTCTGACTCCGTCTTTATGGTGAGTGCACGCACTCTACAGCAAAAATTTCTCAAAAAAAAGTGCATACCTTAATTAAAAATATTTTATTAGTAATAAATGATAATGATCATCTGACCCTTTGGTGAGTCATATTCTTTTTGCTAGTGAGGTCTTGCCTCAATACTGATGGCTGCTGTTTGATGAAGCTGGTGGTTACTGAAGGTTGGGGTGGCTGTGGCAATTTCTTAAAATAAGACAACAAATGAAGTTCACCCTTGTCAATGGGCTCTTCTCTACATGAAAGATTTCTCTCCAGTATGCAATGCTATTTGGTAGCATTTTACCCACAGAACCACTTCCAAAATTAAAGTCAATATTCATACACCCTGCTGTTGCTTTACCAACTAAGTTTATGTAACAGTCTAAATCCTTTCTCTTCATTTCAGCAATGCTCATACCATCTTTATCAGATTTAAGTTCCATCTCAAGAAACCACTTTTTTTGCTTAACCATAAAGAACAACTCCTCATCCATTAGTTTCTTTCCATGAGATTGCAGCAATTCATTCCCATCTTCAGGATCTACTTCTAACTCAAGTTCCTTTGCTTGTTTCTACTGTACCTACAGTTACTTCCTCCATGGAAGTCTTAAACCCCTCAAAATTATCCATTACAAACACCATCCATAAATAATTCTGACCTCTTTGTGTGAACTGTGAATGTTCTTAATGGTATCCTTTGTAGAAGGTTTTCAAATGACTCTGCTCAAATCCATCTGAGAACTTACTACTTATGTCAGCTATAGCCCTATGAAATGTGATTTCTTAAATAATGACTCTTTGATCCATGAGCTACAGAATGGATGCTGTGTTAGTAAGCATGAAAAAATTGTTAACTTCCTTGGACATCTCCATCAGAGCTCTTAAGTGACCAGGTACATTGTTGATGAGAAATCATTTTAAAAATCTCCTTTCTAAGCAATAGGTCTCAACAGTGGACTTAAAATATTTAGTAAACCCCATTGTTGACATGTGTACTGACATCCAGACTCTGTTTTTCCATTTATAGGGAACAGGCAGGGTACATTTAGCATAACTCTTAAAGACTTCAAGATTTTTAGAATGGTAAATAAGCATGGCTTCCCTTTCAGTCAACAGCTACATTAGCTCCTAACAAGAAAGTCATTCTGTCTTTTGAAGCTTGAAACCAGGCACTGACTTCTTTCTAGCTAGGAAAGTTCCACACAGCATCTTTTTCCAAGTGAAGACTCTTCTGTCTACATGAAAATCTGCTGTTTAGTGTAGCCACCTTCATCAATCATCTTATCTAGATCTTCTGGGTAACTTGCTGCAGTTTCTACAGAAGTGCTTTGCTGCTTAACCTTGCACTTTGTTGTTATGGAGACTTCTTTCTTTCAACCTCATGAGCCAACCTCTGCTAGCTTCAAATTTTTCTTCCTCATCTCTCTCAGCCTTCACAGAATTGAAGTAATCCAATTGCTCTGATGTCAATTAAGGGAATGTTGTGGCTGTTTTGATCTTTTATCCAGACCACAAAAACTTTCTTCTCTCACCCATACAACTGTTTTGCTTATTATTCATGTGTTCACTGAAGTAGCACTTTGAATTTCCTTCAAGGACTTTTCCTTTGTTTTCACATCCTAGGGTAACTAGCACAAGGAGGCCTATCTTTTAGCCTTTCTTAGTTATTTAAATGACTTTCTCACTAAGCTTCATCATTTTTGGCTTTTGATTTAAAGTGAGATACTTGCAACTCTTCCTTTCACTTGAACAATTAGAGGCCATTTGTAGGGTTATTAAATGACCAGATTTCAACACTATCTTGTCTCAAAGAACAGGGAGGCCCAAGGAGAGGGAGAGGAATGGTGGGGCAGTCAGAACACACACATTTACCAGTTAAGTTCACCATCTTACATAAGTGCTGTTCATGGTGTCCCAAAACAATTACAATAGCAACATCAAGGCTCACTGGTCATAGATCACCTTAATAATGTAATGATAATGAAAAAGTTGAAATGTGGTGAGAATTGCCAAAACGTGACTTAGATACATGAATTGAGCACATGCTGATGGAAAAATTGCACCAACAGACACACACAAAAAAAAAGATATAAACAACCTTCTACCTGTATAACCTGTGTCTCATCTTCTTGTTCTGTTTTCCTTATCTTTCCATTCCCTCTTTCATACTGGAAGAGTTTGCTGTATCTACTTCCTTATTGCCTAATTGATAACCACATTAACCAAATCCTGGTTTCTGTTCCCACCACCTCAAAAAAACTGCTCTCTTGAAACCCACCACTGAACTAATTGCCATCGCAGCCAATTTACTGGCTACTTTTGACAGTGTTGTCCATTCTCTCCCTTTTGGCATGCTTCTCTTGATTTTGGTGATACCATTCCCTCCAGATTTTGTTTTTGCCACAGGGTGCATGTGCTTGCCAGAAAGAAGAGAGACAGAGACAATGAGAGGGAAAGTTAGAAATCGTCCCCAAGGGGAGATGGCCATGCCACAATTCCATCTCCTCCTGGGATTTGGGGCAAGCATACACGTGTCCAGCATGATTTGCAAGCCACTGGGTCTAGGACTCAAACCATGACCATGGTCAACCTTGTGGGAGTATAACGCCTTAACCACCACTCTCCAGATTTTAAACCCACATCTTTGGCTTCTTCTCAGCTGTCTCTGTGAACTCTCTTCTAGCCTTCTTTTAAGTGCCAATGTTTCTTGATATTCTGTGCCAGGTGCTTGCTTCTTCTTTCTTCTACACATTCACTCTGAGATAGCTCACCAACTATGCTACCTAGTTTCAATTTTTATTATGCTGATAGCCTTTGAATTTACACCTGAAGCCATGGTAGGCTTCAAATTGCTGACTTGACGTCGTCACAAATACGTCTCCCAAGCACCCCAAATTCAACATTCCTAGAGGACTGGACAGCTGCACAGCAGTAAAACGTGATTCACTGTAGGCTGACCCACATAAGAAGGTTCCAGGTTCACATGTGGAGATCTGCCAACATGTTCCCATAATTGCAATATCAGAACCCTGCTGGGTTTACTGTTTCTGGCTCTCGCTTGTGGAAGACATTAAAAAAAAAAAAAAAAAAAAAAAAAAAACAGAAAAACAAAACAAAAACAACCCTGACATGTACAACTCAACAAGAGAGCTCAACACATAAAAAAATTTCCTGAACGCTAGCTACCTCTGTCTATATCCATACATTCCACTGTTTCTCTTTTACTGTAAATAAAAGAACAGAGTTCAGTAAGGTAATCCCTTCACTATGAACCTACTGAGGTACATTGTTCTACTATTTTTCTCCTCTGTCCCTTAAATAATTTATTACATAATTTCTATCACATTAAAAGCAGGCTATTATTCCTCCTTGAAAACAAAAGAGCCAAAAACAAATAAAACTCAAAGAATGAAATTAATTTCTTTGCGATAACTTTCTTTTCCGGCTACTAACAGATTTCACTGCTTGCTTATTTTCTTTATTGTCTTTCATCATACTAAGGGAAAGCTTCATAAGGACAGGAATTTCTTTCTTTTTCTTTTGGTCTGTTTGTTCACTGCTATAAGTGCCTATAAAACAGGGCTTTGCACATAACAGGTTCTACAAAACATTTCATTGAATGAATGAATGTACCAAACTGGCTTCCAATATAAGTTGAGAATGTCAATAACATATATTCAGAGTCCTGAAATCTAGAAACCTTGAGTATCACTGATAATTTTCCCCATCTCCTCATTTCTCAGTCATTATATCCTACAGGTTCTGTCTTCTTAGTAGACATTCTGAATCGATCCACTTCTATCTACATTAATCCTTACCTTTCTCTCCGGGTTTTTTCCAATTTGTCTTTTAAAATCATAATTTCTTTGTTGAGGGCAAGTTGCTGGCCTTCTGAATCATGCAGTTCTTTCTTCAGATTTTTTATTTCATTTGCATGTATGCCTTCTCTTTTAGATAATTCTTCTTCATAAAAGATACTTTTCTTTTCCATATCAGTCTTTAATTTGGTTATCTCTTGCTGATGTTCAATGCTGCATATTCCTGGTGAGTAACTAATTTGTTTTTGCTGAAGAAGTAATAACAAAAGATTAGTTCACTTATAAGAATACTAAAATATCAAACAATAATTCCTTTCTATAATATAAATGACTACTCATCCAGCTGTATATCACTTTTATATATTATCACACAAAAATAATATTATTGCTGTATTCAGGCTACTAACTTTGAATCTGATACATTTTATATTCTCCTCAGTTTATATTTCTTTACAGTTTATGTGTTTATTATTTTAAGTATTCTTCACACCAAGACTGTATATTTATCTGAACTTCCTGTTAGTACTTATATGATTTGTTTCACTTTTTATTTTTTTTAAGGTTTCAGCCATAGGGTATGTGTACTTGCCAGAGAGAGACAGACAGTGAGAAGAAAAGTGAGAAATCACCCCCTGGAGGAAGGCCACAATGGAGAGGAAATCCCGTCTCCATTCTCCTCTCAGAATTTTGAGCATGCACATGCACACACATGCGCCCACTGTGAGTTTCAAGCCACTAGGTCCAAGACTCAAACCAAGGTTGGCCATGTGGGAGTCCGGTCTTTTAACCACTACACCACCTGCTGGTCCCTTTGTTTTACACTTAATTTCTAATTTATTTTGAATTGTCGTTGTTGTGTAAAGGAAGTAATAATCTAACTGCATCCTGTATCTGATGAAGAACTCTAAGAAGCTGTAAGCACATTTGTGTTTAAAAAAATGAGAATGGGGGAAGGGGTAGGAGAACTGAAATGGACAAAAGGAGAGGGGAACTTCACAAAAGTCCCAGGGAGAAAGGTCAAAGGTTTACACCAACATCTTCACATCCATGCTAGAAAAAAATTGAGGCTCACAGGACCAGCAGATGGCATAATGGTTATATTGCTGGATTCCCATGTAGTCGACCACGGTTTGAGTCCTGGACCCAGTGGCTTAAAACTCACATCGGTTGCATGTCCAAAATCCTGAAAGGAGAATGGAGGAGAAGGGATTGTAATGTGGCCATCCCCCCCGGGGGGCTGATTTTTCACGTTCTATCTTTCTGTCTCTCTGGTGAGCACACATGCCCTATAGCAAAAATCTCTAAAGAAAAATAAATAAAATAGTGGATTCTCTTTGCTTTCAGGGAAGGCATTTAAAAGGAGGAGAAATTTAGTTAAAATCTACCACATACTAACACATAGCTATACATGAGGAATAATAATAGAGATATTTCTCTGATTTATATTTTAAAAAAAAAACACAAATCTTTATAAGCAATAAAAAGACTTGAAACAATATAGGAAAATACCAAGTCATTGAAAGAGAAAAGTAGATATATATGAATTCGGTATTTTTCAAATTATTCTCCATGTTATTTTAATAAACAGTTTTTGTTTTTGTTTTTAATATGTGGGTAAGAGCACTAAGGGAAAAGAGAGGATGGAAACAAATGTTCCAAATCCATAGGCAAGAATAAACTGGTAAAAATACCCAAGTATGTGTCAACTTATAAGTGCTGGTATACATGCATAACATGCAGTAAGGTTTTTCAGAACAGAATACTGAAGTAGGAATAGACTAAATGTTTTTTCCAGTGTTACACAGTAACAGGTAAAGCTAGAACTTACAGTACTAGGTGGTCAGGAAAGCCATGACACATTTTTGTATAGAAAAATACATCATGACAGTCCTGGCAACCAAACAGATGTATGAATTCAGAAATGCTACAACAATTTCTCTGCAAAACAACTTCTGCTGAGATGTGTTACCCTGTGCTCATTATCACCTCATTCCAACTAATAGTGTATGCTAAGCTACCCCTAAGCTTCTCCTGAGTCATTCAGGTAGATAGAGGATATGGATATCTAACCACAACTCCCATGCAGATCACCAGCACATCTTCAGCTAGACAGTCTTTCATAAATATCCTAACTCCTTTCTGGAAGCTATCCCTGAGCCTCTCCAGAGTCATAAAGGTAGACACGACATATGGATATCTAACCATGATTCCCATGCAGATTACCAGTACATTTTCTTTACTTTAGACTGTCTTTCATAAACATTCTAACTCCTTTTTGATAGCTTTCTAATGCCACTAAACATGGTCTTCCTTTTTCCTTATCATTATCAGGAAATCTGTATTTATCTATCTTACCAGTTATCTACTGGTAAGAATGAGTATTAGGAATACTAGGTTTTGGGAACAGTAGGTGGCATAGTGGTTGAGGTGCTAGACTCCCATGTGGTCAACTGTAGTTCAAGTCCTAGACCCTGTGGCTTGAAACTCATGCTGGGCATTATGTGTGTGCATGCCCAAAATCCCAGGAGGAGAATGGAGAGAAAGGGACTGTGGCATGTTCATCCCATCTTGGGACTGATTTCTCACTTTCTGTCCCTCTGTCTCTCTGGCGAGAACACACACCCTATAGCAAAAATGTCTCTCAAAAAAAGAATACTAGGTTTGAAGCCAGTTTTTATTCTACCTTTAAGAGTGTACATAAGCGAACACGTCTATCAAACCAAAAGAGAAGAAAATTAAGCTTGATATACATGAAATGAAAAAATACCTTCAGTCCTTCTAATTCATTTTCCAGTTGCTTAGAATAGTGCTCGCTCTGTTCACGCAATTTCCTGTCTTTAGATGCTTCAGCAGCTAGAGCTTCTGTATGAACTTCCAGCTTTAACATAAAACAGAAAAAGTAGATTTCATGGTAATCATTTTTACAAAAACAAAACATTTTTCCCCATGGGAACATACCTTGTAATAGGAAAATAACTCAAATGTGTAATTCATATTAAATAATATTACTGAACTATAAAAATAAATGTTTCAAAAAGCAAAGAATGAAAAACAATTTCACTAGTCTCAAAAAGCAGCTTTAATCAATAGCCCAAGGGCACTACAAAATTTGCCTGACTACTAACCTCTTTTTTGGCTCTTTCTGTTCTGCGTAGTTCTTGCCTTAAGCTTTCAACTTTTTGCATCACCAGGTCCACCTCTTCTTCCTTATCTCGGACATGGCGAGCAAGTTTCTGTTTTTGGGTGTGCAATTCTGTTAGCCGCTCATTGATCTCCATGAACTCCTGCATGGCCAGTTTCCTCTGACAGTGTGCGTCTTTCAGCTCTTTGGATTGATTTTTTAATCGCTCACTAGCCTGGACTAGTTCCTACAGTTTTGTAAAAAAAAATAAGTTACCAATTCTGCATCCTAGAGACCAAATTTGGCCATCAAAGTAGCTATCATTAAGTCAAGAAGAGCCAAAATTATTCACCTCAGGACAAAATTAATGCAAATGAACTACTTTGAGCAGATACTAAGGGCATGGTGTGTACCCTGTTCATATTCTCAGTTCCTTATGCTGACATGGTAAATGTAAGGGAACAGGTAATAAAATCTTTAGTACCTTAGTTTCCATAAATAAGTAGAGTACAGGAATATAAGATATAATTTACAAAGCAAAGATTTTGTGAAAATTAATAAATATATGAGATGTTCTAAATTACATTAAATGATTACAAATGCAAAACAACAAAGATTGCCTTTGATATGGAAACAGCCTTAGGCCAGATACTAGGAGAAAAAAACTGAACCTGAGACTCCCTAATTAAAGTGAGAAATTTAGATGGGGCTAAGGTCAATACAGCTACCTGCTTCCAGCAATTTCTTTGGGGGAAAAAAATCTCAATAAAATCTGGGTATTCCACACATTAAGAGAAACAGTAAGAACTCTCAAAGAAACAAAACACTCAAAGAAACAAAAGGCACCATAATCAATCAACAGAAACAATACATGATAAAAAAATAAACACTGAAGGTGCTTAGGTATTAAAATCAATAGAAATAGACAAAAAATTGCTGTTTGATTAAATAAAAAAGAAAATAATTAAAAATAGGGAAATGACAATTAAAAAGGACCAACCAATTTATAGAAAAAAATTCATAGCACATTTAGGAATGAAAAAACATAGCTACTAAAATTAAATATATGGACCCACCAACATAGGAAATTCTACATTTAGGAGAAAAACAAAAAAGAAGCTCAAACCCAGAAATAATGAATGGGTTTGATGATGAATTCCAAAGAAACATAAAAGAAATCAGAGAGAAAAAAATCCAGCAAATCACCTATTCCTCTAGAACAGACAGCAAAGTATAAGAACTGAAATAAAAACAATAGGTCCAGCCATGGTGGTACACAGGCAGTACCAGTACTTGGAAGGCTGAAATATATTATCACAATGGTCCCAGAATCCATGATGTGAAGAAATAATGTATAGCCAATCAGTCACCTGTGTTATATAAAAAGGCCAACATTAATTCTTGACAAACAACTGACCTCTTCTTGCCCTTCTCTTTATCATATAAAGAAGCCATCTCAGCATTCGTTTGGGTGAGCACTTTCTAGGCAACTAAAATGTGACACCTGGGTGCTGACCTCAGAAGGAGGCTCAAATAAACTTTTCGAGTCACTCACTGTGCCTGAGCCTTCTTTTTCAGGTTGACAATATGCACAGACTTCAGAAGAGCACATTTAATAAATTCGATACCCATTCTTGATAAGAAATAATTATCAAAATATAAATAGGAGATAACTTCCTTAACCTGATCAAAAGTATTTACTAAAAATTTAATGCAAAGATTATTAGCAGTGAAAAAGTAGAGGCATTTTCTTTAAAATCAGAAACAAGGCAGGGATGCCTGCCATCAACACTTTTATTCAACATTGTACCAGAGATCACAGCTAATGCAGTAAGACAAAGGAAGAAAGAAAAATCATAAAACTATAACAGGAAGAAAAACAATTGACATTATTCACAGAAAACCTCAAAGAATCTCAAATATATCCTATTATAATTAGTAAGAGTTTAGTAATGTTGCTAGAACAAATTAGTAAGAAAACATAAATCTTAAACAGTCACTTAAAATTGGAAAAGTTACAGAGAGTAAAACATTTAAGGAAAGTTAAAACAAGACTCATATGCAACTTTTTAAAAGAATTATTTTATTTGACTTTATTTATTTTAATTTGACCAGAAACGGATAGAGAGAGAGAGAGAGAAAGGGAAAGGGAGAGACCAAGCCACTAGGTCCTGGGACTCAAACCGTGGTCTGCCATGTGGAAGTCCCGTGCCCTTAACCACCAGGGCACCTGCTGGCCTGTATGTAATTTTACGAAAGAACATCTGAAAAGACTTTAAATATATGGAGAGATATCACATTTATGGATAAACTATGGGTTGCAGAGAAATAATTTTTGTGGTTTTGCATAGTTAAATTTTTACTGAAACTTGAGAGGAGCCAAATGCAAATCTTGAAAAGTAACTTAACACTAGACAGTAAAAATACTTAAAAGAAATGTACCTATAGGTATGTGTTTACATTTCAAAAGGGTGCTGGCTTCTGAGATAGAGGACAGAAGCCTGAACCATGAAGACTGCCTCTTTGTGCAGAGGAAGACCCAGAGCTTACCTTTCCACTGAAGCAATTTATTTACATTCCAAAGGACTAAAGGAAAACCCAAATCCCTCTCTTCAAGTTTCCAAGGAGACTCTCAGAAATTACAGGGAAGTGACAGGAAAGAAGAAGCGGTCATATATAATATAAACACTTGGATTTTTTTTTTCAGGATTCGTTGTTTATAATATACATTACTTAATGTGTTGGGTTTTAACCAGCCAGCTCTTAGAAACAGAACTCTGCAATTTCTTTTCCTTCATTTCACCATCCTGCCCAGATTTGGGGCACACATGCACATACACCTGCCATGTTTTTCAAGCCACGAGGACTGAGATTCCAACTAGTCAGTCATATGGGATCCAGCTCCCTTAACCAATTAGGCTCTAGGGCCCACCTCATTCAAAATAACATTAATGAATGTGGCTAAAAAATTGAAACACTCAACATCATGATGATGTCAACTCTCCCAATCTATAGTCCATAAAATTTTAGCCCAAATTCCATCACTGTTTTTAAGGAATATAGAATCATACTACAGATCATAGGTGTCATTGTGCATCATTTGGAAAAGGGGGATCTATTCAATAAATGAACAAGTGGTAAGCCATGGACAAACAAGTAAAATGGGATACTTACCTCACGTGCTATACAAAAAATAATTTCTGAAGACTTATACATAAAAGATCAAATAAAAAATTTCTAGATAAAAATTTAGGAGAATTTTTCTTTTTTTACTTCAGACTTCTTATATATGTCAGCAAGTATACTACCCATAAAAATACTGATAAAATTGACTATACTAATCCCAAGAAATTTACTCAAAAGATTCCATAGGGACAGTCTCATTAGACTAATGGTTAAGGTAGCTGGATCCCACATGGCCCACCGTGGTTCAATTCCCAGTACAGTAACTCGAAAAACCCATCAGGTACATTTGTGTGCATACCCAAAATTCTGACAAGATGAAGAAATGGGGAAGAAAAGAGAGCAGAGAGGTCACACTTCACTGGGGGAGTTCTTTCTCACTCCTGTCCCTAAAAAGGCAGACATCCTCTGACAACTGGGGAAAAGGAAAAAAAAAAAAAAAAGAAGAAGAAGATCCCACAAAGTAAAGGCTGTCCACTAACTATGAGATAATATTTATATACATAACTAACAAAATAGTATGTTGAGAAATCTTCAACAATTATTACAAACTAATGAGAAAAAGATAAACAGACCAACAGAAAAATCAACCAACGATACTAAGCAGCATTTCACTAAAGAATTGTAGTATTAAATAGACTTATGTAAAGTTACTAGACCTCATTAGTAATTAGGTAAACACAAATTAAGAACAAAATAAAACCTCATTTTAGACCTTAATTCTCAATTTAGAGTCACCAATAATGGTAATTATGGTAACTTGAAATACTGTTGTACACAGAAACTTCTATACACTACTATCAGAAGGGAAATTAATAGACTTGGAAAACTATATAGCATTATCGTAAAATACAGAATATTTAGCAATCTGATATTTTTTAAATGGGTAAAAGATCTGAATAGACATTTTTCCAAGAAAGACATATAAATGGTTAATAGTTATATGAAAAGATGCTCAACATCACTGATCATCAGAGAAATTAAAACTAAGAGCACAAAGAGAAACCACCTCATGCATGTTAGACTGGCTAGCCTATTAGAATGGCTATTACCAAAAAATCAAAAGGTTAACAAGGGATGGAAAGGATAAAGAATGAAGGAAATGCTTTTCTTTCCCCTGTAGGGTATTAAGCAAATTACTTAAAATCCTGTATTAGTATAATTTGTTTCTTTTCAGCACTATCCTTTCCTCAAAATTTATGAAAAGGATTTTTAATATTAAAAATTAAGAAGATACTGTAAATCTACATATCGGTTTCATTCTTAGTATGTTAATTAAATTTGGTTGCATAATCCTACCAATAAATACAAAACAGTAAAACACTAAAATTACTATAGTATTGAAACAACGTCAATGCTTAATTTGAGTTGTCAGGAAAGTCATGAAGCATTTTTGCATAGAAAAAACATGTCATGACTTTTCTGACAACTCAATAAACGTCAAATATTATTAAATTGTCCATGAACTTAAATGGATCTAGAAAAAATATTGTTTGAAACTACATTAAGCAAAAAGAAACTAAAAATGCAGTGATCAAATTCAATTTAATCTCTACTAAGAGCTTTCTCAGTCTTTTTAATAAACTTTATCAGCAAAAGGTGACTTGTTTTATTTTTAATTTCCACCATTGCTTTACTGACAGCAGGACTTAAAATTCTTCTCCAAAAGGATTTTATTTTGTATTATTATTGCATTACATATTATATCACTGAATACAATTTTTACTACGCAATAGATTACTGATTTCCTATTTGGTTGGCTAGTATCAATCTAAACATTTTTTTTTGTTTGTTACTGAAAGCATTACTGGTTAACAGCATGCTGTTCAAATGTTTTTCTCTAGTGCCTGAATACTATTTATTCTATCGAGCTTTGTTACAGAGTCTTAGCTATCAATAAATTTTGCTCATGTTTATAATACAATTAAATGTTATGTAAAGCTCTTATAAAAATGACTTCAGCTTGTTTATCCATGCTGCTTTGAACAATAACCTGTCATTTAAAAAATAATCACTAAAGAAATTTATTTTTTAAGAATGTTCACATCAGCAAGTTGTAATGAAAATATATCTATATTTTTAACTTGTTCTATAGACACTAAACAGATTCTACTATTCTATTTTTATGCTGTTTCTTTTCCAAAAATATTTACTTTTAATAAAGTACTTACATTATAAACTTTCTAAAAGAACAAAAGATTCTTAACTATAAAACTTCAAGAAGATTGAAGATCAAAATTACACAAGATTAAGAACACAGAAAAGGCTCTAACAATCTATATATTCTCACCTTATTTAGATCTTCCCTTTCTTGTTGTAATGTTTTGATTTGTTTTTCATAAGCTTTGATTTGTCTAAAAGCATCATCTAGTTCTCGCCTCACAGAATTAGCTTCTTCAAGTTGCTGTTCCAAGTGACTCATTTCTAAAAACAAAAAACAATGCTTCTTTTTTACTATTTGTGTAAATGCAAATACTTGAAATCATGACTTAAACAACTAAATTTTTTTAATTAAATTTTATTTATTATCAGTATTAGTTGTAGTATTTTAATTTGCTATGGCACACATGCACTCACCAGAGAGAGAGAGAGAGAGAGAGAGAAAGAGAGAGAGAGAGAGAGAGAGAGCAGGCAGCCAAGTCCTGGATTTGAACTGCAGTCAGCCATGTGAGAATCCAGTGCATTAACCATCATACCATCTGCTGGCCCCAACAAATAAAACTTTTAAAAAACAAGTATCTTGTTGTTGGTATTAGGTCTTTTGTCACCAGGAGTAGTATGATTAATGACAAGTTAAATGCATTATCAGTGCATTGTAAAGATCAATGGCATACGCCAGTGTGAAGATATATAAAACTGATGTGCAAAAATGTCTTATATACCTATTAGGAAAAAAATATTATACTTCCAAAAAACAAAATTTTCAGACCATTTAAGAAATTTAATAAATAAAAAATGAACAAAACTACCAATACACATTTTTCTCTACTGTTGGAAAGCATTTTACTGGTAAGCATCAAAATATTTTATGATGGTTTTACAGCACCAGCAGGTGGCGTGGTGATTAAAGTGGCCAGATCTCACTTCAACTGAGCTGCTTGAGGCCCAGACCCAACAGCTTAAAAAACCCAGAGTGTGAGTGTGTGCCAAAATCCTGAAAGGAGAAAAAGAATTGTGGCCATTCCCCTTGTGAGTGCTTTCTCACTCTTCCTTTCTCTCTCTTTCTTGGCAAGTACATGCACCCTCTGGCCAATTAAAAAAACAAAATAGGATGGTTCTGCTTCCAAATAGGGTAGTTCCAGACCACCTAGCCTACTTTCATCACTAGTTATTTGAAGAATAAAATCTAATTTCTAAAAGTAAATATCTGATAACCTCTAATCTAAATTGGTTCTTTTTTTTTTTTAAATAAAGGAAGTTTAACAACTTGCCTAAGGTTACATTGTTAAATGAGCTCCATAACCAAGATTAGAGCCAAGAATTCTTGCAACTTACAAAGTAATGTTATTAAATAATGTATAACATTATTAGAAGAGTTATTATGAAACAAAACAAAATTATTACTTTTATCATATGCTTAAATAATTTTTTTCCCAGATTTTTGTCATAGGTCACACATTCACAGGAGAGAGACATGGCGAGCAGAAAAGTAATGAATCCCTCCTCTGGGAGGATGGCCAAGTCACAATCCCTTCTCTATTCTCCTCTGAGGATTTTGGGCATGCATGCACACATACATACCCACACACCTCCAGCATGTTTTTCAAATCGCCAGATCTGGGACTTAAACCATGGATTCGGCCATGTGGAATCCAGCACTTTAACCACCATGTAATGAATATACAGTTTTGATTTGGGATATTAAAAAAACTGTAGAAATGGATGTTGGTGATGGTTGTACGACAATGTGAGTGTGCTTAATGCCACAGAATTATATGCTCAAAAAAAGAAAAGGATAAATGAATGGTATTTAAGAGATGGAATAGAACAGAACACATAATAAGCAGAAAAGAGCTTGAGAAGGTATGAATATCAAAAAGGGGATTCACCTTTTCTCTCAACATTATTTCACCTCTGATGAAAAATTATCAGTAAAGAGCGGTCTTACTAGCACGGAATTTACGGAAGTGGTAGAAGTAAAATAAGTAAGAAAATCTCAACCAATAGGAGTTGTACAATAACTGATTTTCCAAGTTACAGTGACACTTTGCAGGAGCCATTTATTTGTACACAAGGGAGGAAAGTGTGCTGGGAACTGCTTGTACAAACACAATGTAAAGAGACACTTCACAAAATAGTCAGGGAAGGTTTTGAAGAAGTGGTTTCATTTGGTCATTCATTCATCAATGAATACCGATTTAGGGTATTTTATGAGCCAGCTAATATGGGCATTTGGAACATATCAATGAATTAAACTAAGTCTCCATTTTCAAGGAGCTCATAGTCTAGTAGTGAGGTAAGGAAAGGTAATACAGAAACAAACAAAAATGTCACTATCGAGAAGTGTTATACAGAAGAATGTACCCAGCAGACAAATAGCAGATGTAAATGAACAAATAATTAAATGAATAAATAATAGAATAGGGGAAAGTAATGGAGGAAGAGAAAGAGAGAGGGGAAAAAAAAAAAAAACCGAAACACGTGAAGGACCTGGAAGAGCATTATGTGGAACCAGAAGGAGTGAATTTGGCCAAGTAGGATCTAATCTACCTCCCTAGTCTCCATGCCACCTACTGGTCCCAAACAGATACATTTAAAAGGTTACTTTGGGTTCTTCTAGTTCTGAGAAGATGGAATAGATACCCAATCTTTCTATTAAATATAACTAAAAATCTTAAACACATATTATGTAAAATGGATTCTACATAAAACAAACATAAGATTGTAAAATATGAGAAAATCTAGGACATTGGCACCTGAGGAACAACCCAGTGGTGAATTCTCGGTTTTCTTTTTGGTTCTTAAATCCGATAATCAGAGTTGAAGAAGATAACACTCCAGAAATGACAATGGGTAGGGAGGGAAAAAAAAAAGCCCCCCCCCATAAAAAGCCTATTCTTTCTAGCCAAGGGACCAGGAAAGGGTAGACTAGCAAGTCAAATTACCCTATCAAGAACTAGTAAAACTGCAACATAAGTGAGAAAAGACGATCAATAAATGCAAAATGTCAAGATAACAGAGATGTTAGAATTATTTGACAAAGATACGAATGCAGCAATAATAAAAATGTTCCAACAAGCAATTATGAACATACTCAAAACAAATGAACAAATAGAAGGTCTGACAAAGATATAGAAAGTCTCAGAGAAGAAAAAGATAGGAAGAAAAATAAAATGGAAAATTAAAAATGAGTAATACCATAACCAAAATAAAAATCTCAATAGTTGGATTCAACAGTAAACAGAAGGGGTCAGAGAAAGAAATCAATTAACTAGAAGATTGTGTTTTAAATATCAAATTCTGGGATCAGTAGATGGTGTAATGGTTATGTCACTGGACTTCCACGCAGTAGACTGGGATTCAAGTCCCAGATCTGGCAACTTAAAACTCACACCAGGTGCATGTACACGTGTGCACGCCCAAAATCCCAAGAGCAGACTGGGAGAGAAGGGACTGCAGTGTGGCCATCCCTCCTGGAGGGCGAATTCTCACTTTCTGTCTCTCTGTCTCTCCAGCGAATGCACACCCCTATAGAAAGAAAAAAAAAAAAAAAAAAAATTTTTTTAAAAAAAAAAAAAAAAAAAAAACTTTCTTAAAAAAAAAAGAGAAAGAAAGAAAATAAAAGGAACTAACCAATACGAACAAAAGAAAAAAAAAACACGGAATTAATTAAAATAAATTTTAAAAAATAAAAAGAAGAAGAACAGAACCTCAGGGACTTGTTGGATAATAACAAACTATTTAACTTTTGTTTCATTAGCGTCCCAGAAAGGAAAGAACAAACAAGCAGATCTGAAAAAGTATTCAAAGATCCGGAGAGGAGAATGGAGGAGAAGGGATTGCAGCATGGCCATCCCCCCTGGGGGGTGATTTCTTACTTTATGTCTGTCTGTCTCTGTCTGGCGAGTGCATGCGTCCTATAGCAAAAACCTCTCCAAAAAAAAAAAAAAAAAGTACTCAAAGAAATAAGTTCTAAAAACTTCCTAAATTTGGCAGGAGACATTAACCTTTAGATTCAAGAAAATAAACAAATCCCAAACAATAAACCTACAGAATTCTGCTACAAAGAAATCCATGCCAATACAATACATGTCATTATCATTAACATTAGAAAGTCAATGAAACAGAAAAAAATCATAAAATCAGAGAGAAAAAAACACCTTAGATACTCAGAATGGCAGTAGGTTCTCATCAGAAAACAGGGAGTACTAAAGGAAAAAACAAAAACACAGAAAGAAAAACAAGAAAGTAAACCCAGTTTCCTACAATCAACAAAAACATCCTTTAGGGGGTCCAGCAGGTGGAGTGGTTATTAAGGCACTGGACTCCAACTTGGCCAACCACAGTTCTAGTCCCGGATCTGGTGGCTTGAAGATCATGCTAGATGCATGTGCATGAGTGTCCAAAATCCTAGAAAAATAATGGAAGAGAAGGAATTGTGGCATGGACATCCCCCCGTGAGAGGTGATTTCTGACTTTCCCTCCCACTATCTCTCTGGCAAGGGCACATACCCTATGGCAAAAACTAAGGAAAAAAAAATCCTTCAGGGAAAAAAAGTAAAAATCAATTTATTCTCACATGAGGGGAGAAAAAAAGACAGAGGAAAAAATTGTTGATAGCAGATTTAACTTAAAAAATAAAGGAAATTCTCTCAACAGAAAGGCAATACACACACACAGGAAGGAACTCTGGAATATTAGGGAGAAAGAAAGAGCACAATACAGAAAAACATAGTAAGAAGAAACAGCACAGTATGTGAAAATACGAGTTAAACAATAGGCTGTGGGTTTTCTAAATTACCATTCACAGCTGAGGGAAACAATATTACCTTATCTGATGTGCTTCTAAAAACATATAGAGGAAATATGACAATTACATAATAAATTGAGAGACTAAAGAGATGTAAAGGGAAACAAGAATTCTATACTTTGCTTTTTAATTTATTATCATAATTTTTATATTACATTTAATGTCTCTGACTTGACACTGTATACCTGCTGAGAAAACCGTGTTGTACACTGTAACGATGTATAGTGAGTAAATGTAAATTAAAAATTTTAAAAATAAAAAAAAATTTAAAAAGAATTCTATACTTTGCTTAAATTGGTAAAATGAGCAACCACTAAAAACTTCTCTATAAAGAGATATGCTCAAAAACATAGTTACAAAAAAAATTCTAAAATATGTTCAAGTAATCTAAAGGAAGAAGAAAAAGCACAAAATTAAAAGAGCATAAAGAAAACATAAAAAAGATATGGTCCTA